TAAATTTGTCCAGGGGTTAGTATGAAAAAATATCAGAAATTCTCAAGCATACACAAAACTGCATTAAGACATCAGTAAGCTGATTGTCAAACGTGTCAAAGTACATCTTAAGAGATTATTCCTATCAGTAATTGTTTGCCGACATCAGCAACATCGCTTCAGGTCATTGATCCTGGTGCTCCTGGGATGACTACATTCCAACCTAAATTCCTCGATGAAGTTAACAAACACCACTGGGCGATTGTCTCTTTCAGACCTTAGATAACGTAACCATCAAGATTTGTCGACAAAAATAACTTATTTATTTTCTAATTGTAAGACTCGAAGCAGATTCATCAGTGTGTTTGTGGCCCCTGGCAACTGTGGTAAAACATTCATGTGACAGGAATAGTGTAGAATTGTTACTAGAACCTAATCCTGTTCGGAGATTTAAACGGCTGAGATCAATTCATTCGTGAAGTACCGTTATATGATCAGTATCATCATTTAATACAAGTCATTACACGATAGGATCGTGATTACCATAAATTTCCTTTGTTCGCACCAATGATTTATCTTCATACCTACTTTGTTTTCCTTTAGATATTCTAATACCTTCAAACATATTATAAAGAGATTCATCATCTCAACTTTATCACACGCTATTATGAATTTTCCATGTCTAAATGGTAACATTTCTGCTTTTTTTTATCCTTATTGAAGCAGAAAACGTATTCCTGTCTGAACATCTGTTCTTATTACCCTTGATCATCCATGGTATCCATGTGCGTCCTTATTCGTATGCTCCACGAAAGGAGATCATATAGTCGCTGCTTTGTCGGTCCGTCCGTCGTGCTTTTGACCGAAGCATAACACAAAACCTGTAAGAGGTATCAACAAGAAACTTCGGTGGTAGATAGATCGCAGCTAGGAGAAGTGCAATGCGCTAGAACCAGCGCCCTCTTTGCATACTTTAGGAGTTATTGCCCTTTGTTATTTGTCATACTTAAATTTTGTCCGGAGCATTACACTAAAACTATAAGAGGTATTAACATAAAACTTTATAGGCAGATAGATCACAATGAGAAGGGCAGTGCAGAGGAACCATAAATCTCTTCTGCACAATTTAGGAGTTATTGCCCTTTGTTATTTTTCATGCTTAAATTTTGTTCCATTCGGGGAGCACAACCTGTCTCTGCCGGCCCTTGTGGATCAAAGTTTTGTTTTAAATCAAGATTTAATTCGCATGGCAGTTTTTTCTTCTTGTTTATAAATATCAATACTACTGATATCATTTCTATTCAATGTTTACAGTGTTCTCGTAGCATACGATACGACTTTTTATACTTTGTCACGGGTGTCCTTTCTGGCCAATAGAAAACGTGGAATTGCAATGAAAAAATAGTAATCACATGTGCATGATATTTTTGCTGATTACGTGTGTACTACAGCACATTGTGATATCGGGCTTTAAAAACGAAATGAAATCACACATTCATAGATTACATTGTAACGTTATGGAGCTCATGAATATAGACCCGAAATGACATCAAGTTTGAAATGGAAATATTTTTTCTATAATGTTTGTCTAAATAACTGACCATGACATAACACTGATCTCGAATTTATTTCTATTCGATATGTAGTTAAGAATACTCGTCACTGTGTTTTCATTTGGCTTAAATTACATATCCAATTGAAAGTCATGCTTTATCCTGTATGTATGATGTCAATTAATCGCACCAATGACACATGCCATAAATCGAATCACCATACCAACAATAAGAACTCATTATATCGTTGATACATATACTTTATCAAATTATACCGTACCGATGATATACATATTTTGAATCAATTTACAGTATCGGGTTACTAACCAATGGTAGTTTCCTTATAACAGTAGCATGAATCAAATTATCATACTTAGTACCTATGCTTTCTATGTTATCATAACACTGCATGAAGATCGTCGATGAAGAAGAAGACGCTTGCTTTTCCGGAACACCTGGTTTTATTATCCTTGTTCTTTTTCAGGAATCTCCGTGTAAATCTTTCTTTTGTTCATATTTTGCCCTAGTTTTGTGGAATTTGGGTTCGGATTATGATTATAAATTTACATGTTGGTATTTTCTGGTTGTTTTTCGTACCTATGTTTATTTTATGAAGCAAGTGACTATACATATGCTATAAACTCTATAATAATTTACGAATGAAATGTTACATAATTATGACATAAACAGAGAAGATGAAACGCAAGTGAGATTATGGTTTTTGTAACGTGACATGTCATTTACTGAGGTAAGAGACCATTCCTGTGTGACATCAAAGCCGTTCATTTTACTACATTACCAAATGGGTACTTTATCGTGTTAGCTTTGTCCAAGAAATAGAATATTAGATTTGTACGATCCAGTTAACGTCGAGTTTATCGTATAAATGGCGGAGACTGTGATTTACGTCTGGAGGAGAGAATCACGTGACATGAGGGTGGTTACATCACAACGTTCAGGATGTAGTCGAGAGTGCGGGTTTTTATTTAATAATCTAATATAAACTTAATTAGCTTCTAGGCACATCTTGTTGATAAATTGATACTGCGGTTATCTGTTACATAACCAAATCCGTTTGGTAATCTCAGAACAACATCAAATTTAGGTAACTTGACATAGAGCTGATAAAACCATTGAAAGATAACTAAATTATGTCGCAAAAAATGATGTGAAACATATTCTTATGTTGCAATTTGAAGATTGAATGCCTTCACAAGTATATCGTTTGGTTTTGGTAAATGGGTCACAGTTTGACGAAGCAAGAGAATATTTCTACAGCCTGAAGCCTAATTTCAGTCCTTGCGATGCGTTGTTAACTATTAATAATTGCCGCTGCTGACAAGACATATTACATGTTGAGTATAATACCACGACAGTTGGTATGAGAGGGAGCGACGGAGGCCCGCACAGACAGCACCGTATTGTATGTATCATTACTTACATCACCATGACATCTAATCTATTGAGTCAATTCAATCAAAACGGAAACTAGCTTTACTCCTTGCCATTTACAAATGAGAATTTGAATATATCTATCCAAAATAAAGTCATGTCTTTTGATTCATAATAGAACTCAGATATGTCTATATATAGAAAGACGAGGTACTCATTGTACGACATGGCCGTGACGTTTAATGGCATGTAAGAGATCCTCGAACGCTCCCGGGACCGTATATTATTAACAAAGTATAACAAGTCTTGAAATACAAGTGATGTACACGCGTTCTTTACTTATAAACCGAAAGTTGATCTTTTGGAGAAGTTTTACGAAATATTTTAATTATCAATTCGGTATGGGAAATGAGAAATTTGTTAAATTCTTATCAAATGGGGGAAATTAATTGCTGTGGTAACGCTCCGGTGATTTTCAGCAAATGAAAAAGCTATCAACAGTGCTTAAATATAACTGAGAAGGGTAATTATTCTTGTGTATAACAGCCTCGTGGTTCCCGACACTGATCTTTATTAGTGAGTGAAAATGTTTTGGAATGTTACATAGTTTCAGAAAATTTGTCTTACATGTAGTTCCCAAGACAGCCAGGCCTCGGTTGTTCATAGGCTGGTTGTTTGGTGAAAATTTTCATAAATAAATTAAACAAAATCGGAAACACTCTTTTTTCATTTTTACAACTGTATATATATTGAAGCTGGCCAGATTGATATATTTGGAGTGTTGATTTTGCATTTAACACTCCTATTTGTTCAGTAGCAACAATTTAAAATGTTCACTAATCACCGATTAATTCTAACTATATTTTGAACCACTGGGATCTGGTGCCAAGTTGTATGTCACATGACAATGCGTAACGTTTTAATTTTCTCAGAACCACGTACAAAGGCTATGTTTGACGTAGCTTGATATTTTTTCATCGCACACGATATTTGATTCTAATTGAGATATACGTAATGAAAATTGAAATCACCACTAAGATTTTAAAAATTTGAAATGATCCCTCCCTAACAAATACAAATGGCTCCAGAATAGTTTTTTAAAAAATCGCGTTGACGATATATGGATGAGAGTTTGACACAGGCTGCTATCGCGCGCATGGACAAATGTGACAATCCGGTTGTGAACTGATTGATAACTGTTAGAGTTTTACGTCGTGTGATACAGACAGTTGGAAGCCGTGTGGAGAGAGCAACCACCAACATTGGTGGATAAGTCTACACTGTTTAGGGAAGGCGTTATCCAGGTGTAATAGTCATCATTCTTTCAAGGTGATGATTTTCAATCCACCAACGTGCTGCCGCAAAAATATCAATATACCTTAGAGCTGGGCCAAAGGGGGAGCCAATGTTTACCTAGCCATCAACAACCTTCATTCATTCTACCGATAATACAGACAAGCGCTGGGTCTTCTTCTTAAATGTTCACATTTGCGAATCTCCAGAAGCTCTTCACTGACAAAGACAGCGATTAGTTCCTGTAGTTTTTGTGCCAGAGACGTAACATAACACTTGCTAGCATATCTCTTCATGGTTGTTATAAATAGTCGTAGTCCCTCATGGATATGGTACACTTTAACACACAAGTGTATCTATTAAGTGTTTGAGTGTGATAAATCTATGGACCTTAATTGATGATGTATCCTCGTTTGCTGTGTTAAGGGTCGGTGTTCAGTGTACGTGTAGTTCGTACGGATCCGTATCTGACCATCCTGACATTTATCGATCTTTCGTCGTTCCTTACTCCGTACTCCCGGATCCTATTGGTGGAGTTTCCATTATAAATTGTTTCGCGGAAGATTAAATATATTTAATTGGTCGCCATGCATGCTCGAACTATCTGGTGTCGAAATTTTTGACGAACTCAATAGTACTGTAAGCTTACTGACTTACATTCCTAGCTACTGGTGTTATATATGTGACAGGTAAAATGTAATTATTGAAAGCTGGTGGTCTATTTATTTTCTTTATATCAATATTAGATAACAATGATGTTATTAGATAACTGACTTAATCAACATGGGATGTATCTACGCTAAAAGGAGAAAAGAAGCTTTAAGAAAGGGCTTGGATATCACTTCAAACTCACATAGAAAGAAAACCTATCTTAAAAACGTTAACCAATGTGACGGCTCTCCTCAACAGTCCCGAGGACTAACGGAACCTGCCCCTGAATTTACCGACCGACAGAGGGAGCTAGTGGTCCAGACATGGGGAATCATACAGGAAGATATGGCACGTGTCGGTGTTGTCATGTTTATGAAGTAAGTAAAATTTGCTTTTTCATATAGCGTCATATTTTGTTTCGTCGTGTTTAATAACCGAGAAAAGATTGTTCACTCTTAAATATTAGAATGTAGTGTCATCGGAAATTATTCTGTATTTTTGATTTGTAATAAAAGAACCGACCAGACATCTGATATCTTAATTTTCAGCAAGATAGTTAAACTACAAATCTCAGTAAAACACCATGTATTACAAATAATTAAAATAAATTACTACATTCCGATGTTTAATGACTATATATGATGGCTAATGATGGCCTGAGTTAAATATTTCCTAACGAAACAGTCAACATGACTTCCTAGAAGAATATCAAATCTTAGTGGTATATTCATGGTAATCAAAGTCTTTACTTTATCATAGATGTCCCAAGTGTAATATCGAAACGAGCCTAGTTATATTGTATAGCAACATACCAAATTGACGTACACACTGTCGGGCATGTCCTTCACATACCTAAAATCGCTTCCGTACCTCCAGATCATCAAAGATTTAATATTAATCTCTTTTCTTTTGAATCCTTCTTGCACTAAATATGACAGAAAAAATACGTGCTGTCTGAAATCAGAGAAAAAAAAAAATAGAAAAAAGGGCTCTCAATCAATAACTCCTAATACTTTACAGCTCCCCCTCCCCCTAGCCCATCCCTCACCTCACCCCAACACACCGTAAATCGTCCGCCCTTACCTTACACCATTAACTTGAAAATACATCACCTTACTATGATTATCTACCAACTTAACGCTTGGTGTATACCAATACCGTCAAAATGACTTTTCGAGTGAAATAGGTACATAGTAGGTTCACGCATATATTAGTCTTCAAGAAGTCACTAGAACTTTTGTCATATATACATCTAAACTCACAACATGTTACGTTCATATCAGTATAAAATCAAATCTCTTAAATATACGCCGTGGTTATCCCTGGCAACACGTTAAGTGTAAATATTCCATCCCTAGTTTTTTGTTTTTTGTTTTTGTATTAATTGATTTCTAATATTCTTCGTCTACATCAGTACAGAACGATTTTGCCAAGGTCAGCTTAACATTATTATCTCCGGCGCTACGATAATATCATTGTTTGTAAAGTATTGTCTTTGACTCTATATTAGGTCTTTCCCTATTCCATATAAGAACAAACCTGTTGTCCTGAACACATAGTTCAGCTAAGTACTTGTGTATAAATCGGTATAATACTTTTAAGACTGAGTCTACCTCAGTAAAAGTCTACTGATCCTACCGCTTCAACCGTGTCAGCATAAATATAGGACCTTAAGCTATTTCTCATTTCATATGGAATTTTACGAAACGAGTCAAGAAATTGTTACTTTTGCGACATTTTGGGACCAAAAGTTAAAACTTCAAGACGAGACAAGTCTCATATGAAGTGAACAATGCCGAGAAATGTTACATTTTGACAGGTTTTAAAGTAAAAATGTGAGGACAAAATCAAATGGAGGCAGTCGCTTTGTAACGCCATTTTTAATTCATGATATAAAGTCATTGTCCATATTAAGACATTAAAATTGAACAGGTCTGTTGTGTCATGTCATATGGTTTCCCCCTATTGGCTCGCTCTCTAACTGTTACATGAATAAACTGTATATGTCTAGGCTATACTTAAGGTTAACGACTTTCCTGCGTGGTGTAAAGTTAAACAATAATAAAAGTGATAATAATGGGATAATAAATGTCGGTCTATGTAGAACCACAGTCAGATAGATTTATAGGGGCGAATATAGCGGCTGACCCTCTGTCATTCCGTTGACCGACAGTAATCATCTATATAACGTTTTTATCGTCAGATTTGCCAGACAAATGTGTGTATAAATCATAACGATTTTTTATTTATTCATCTTTCCATGGTAACATTACCAGTCTATAGAACCAATTTGATTAGTTTTACCAGCATGTTAAACTTAACGCCACGCTGTGGCTACGCAATGCAATATTACAGACAGCAACTACAATTTATATAATCTTACACGGGCCTGTTCCGTGGACAGAGATATCTCGGCCCGAGTTTCAAAGTTTGACTGGTCAGCAAAAGGTTTAACCTATGTTTGATTTTTTTCTCATGCTCCTAAAAGGTAACAAATTGCAAATTGTTGTGGAAACATATTTATCCATATGCTCAATTTATCGCTCGAGTGTATTGCGGTACCGTACATAACACCTCTGTAAATGGTTCACGCAATTTCAAAACTTGAAAACGTATTGTGTCAAATAAGAAATTATTTCATTCTTTTTGGTCTTTGCCCAAATCATGAGACCACAATTGATTTCTGCCTAGCACAGCCAATGTAGCCAATATACACAAAATATTACATGGATATAACTGATAACAGGCCGATCATATGATAAAGAGTTATTTCATCTCTAACAACTCTAGCAAATACGAGGCAGTGTCACATCCTCGAAGTCATGACAGCCATAATGACGTTGACGGTCTCTTTCGGTTAATTTTCAAATTGCCAACCAGGCGAATGTCGGGTCATATTTGGTACAATTGATTGGTTGTGAAATCAGACAGAACACTGGAAAAATGACGATTGGAAATCAGATTTTAAAAAAAGGCCGTGGAGGGGGGATGGGAGAGCCTGAGATTGGTAGTGGGGGAGGGACTGAGATCCGGACAGAATGACACATGTGATTACGTTTAAATAACTACGAATTAAAGAATCTGGAATATCCCCCATAAGCACATGTATCTGGAACGTAAACAACCCAGCAAAGATTACGTTCGGAGCACTCAGATAACAACAAAATTTTATATTTTCGCTATTTGCGCCATTTAAAAGACAAGTCTATATCTAAAACACGTTTGACTAACAATTACATCAAGTTACGAACGCATTCCACATCAAGTTTCGCCTTGAAATGTCTTTCTTCTCTCGACTTTCTCAGGCGATCAATTCATCTCTTTAAGACGGAAATACGTCATTCAGTTCAATTATAGTTCAATCGGCTAGATCATTGAAAATCTATATTTAGAAATGACGTACTTCCGTCTTTTTGTATATGATTCATAGAGGACTGAAGTTTTGCTCGAGTTGTTTACGTTCCAGATGCAGGTGCTAGTGTATCACCTTATCATTGCAAGTACTGACATCTACTTGACCGTTGATAATGTAACATTCCTGGAGCTTACCAAAATAGAACCGACAAGAAACATATCCGATATTTTATCTTAATTTTGCATAGCCAAATGTTGTTCGGAATACGTGCACTAGTAATGTACAAGCTGCCAGGTAAATTTTATCAAACACCATGTACTATCATTCACGTAGGTATTGCTAATCATGTTATAATTATTGTATCAGTAAACAAAACACATTATTTTTATTTTCAATATCAAGACATGTTACTGAAAGGCAATGACAAACGACGTATGTTTGCAGAGTAGTTCGCATAAAAATACAATGATTCATAATGTGATGTCATTACCGATGCCGGAATTAATGTAAAATTTCAACGGATGTCATCCGTGATAAAATAAACAGCGTAGGAAGCCTACATCAATATTCGGGCATCTAATAAAGATATCAAATCATATTGTACACACGATGTTTCAACTGTACTTTTTGAAAATGACAGATAAAAATGATGTGTTCCGTTCTGTAATATATCCCGAAGTTTCATTTGCAGATATCAACACCATATCATGCAGCGATATTGATCATGTGTATCGTGTCTCATGTGACCATTTGCTCTTTTGCTTTTGATCATGCGCGACTATAAAGAACCACAGATGTGATTTAGTTTTAAATATAAAACACTTCCCCTGTGTGTAATCATGATCAAATTACATTGTACGGTTCTTACATATCCGCCATGTGTAACACTACTGTTCTGGGTAATAGTCCTCGGGCGCGGATAAAGAATATAAGATAGGCTTAAACGGTTAATGTGCTTACGCGCGGTCTCAAAGGATGCGCCATCTAGTTGGCCTGCACTGATATTTCCTGGAAGTAACAAGCTCTTTGTAGATCGTCCCTGGCCCCTCTGGTATACTATGTTTTGTACGTGATATTGGACACAGCGACTGTTCCTTCTACAGAAATAATTCTATGTTCCAATTTCACGTACAAAATTCTTCTATTGAACGTCTGGTTATCTAAGAATGGTGAAGCGAAATGTATTTACATGTTGCACTGTTTTGTAGATTTCTAGCTTGTAGCAAAATGTTTAATAGATTTTTGAAATCGTTTTTGGCACCTGCCTACAGTAGAGCACACAATTAAACGATTATTAGTTTCAAACGTCCTGGCTCTGTCTTTTGAACCATTCCAATTCCCTTTGATCTTTGTTCATAACTGATTGCAGGCAAAAACAGCTTATCAAAATTGCCTTTAGACATTTGTGTATCCATCCTTTTCGATTATTGGACTCGTTCTGATGTAATAAGTGCATTTGCAACAATGGAAATGTTTTTAAACATATACAATGTATAATAATTATCAAATCTTACAAGAATGTATCTCAGTGAATGCTAAATTTGTGAAACAATCATTGAAAAAATTTACTTCATATTTAAAGATTCAAATGATTTTTTAACTTCTTGATTGCGTTACTGAGACGTTAAAAATTCAAAAGCTACACCATAAGTTGTTTCTTTTTTCTCGGACTTAAAACATATCTATTCATTGAATCAAAGCACAAGAATCAGACATTACATTTTAATGTTTACAAATTATTCCTTAAAGGATGTAGGAAAACAATCAATGCGGAATTGTCTGTATTAGGTACGCCCTACATATACTTCCTTCGATAAAAAAAGTCGCTTACAACAAAGATGAAGGATAAAAAGGGAAAAAAAATGTCGCTTATTATATTGCAAATAAACATACAATATGTGCCAGATAATGAGTAAGACAAAGGGCGATGATTTCGATAGATTTTTATCTCATCTCATTCCTGACGAGTTCTTTTAAAACTACCACATGAAAGAAATTATGACATATATACAATATTAAGAC